ATTTGTGCAAATGAATGCAATCTTTTTTTCCAAGAGTACTAAACATGAAAAGTCTTGCTTACCTTAAAGGAATGTATGCCAGATTTTTAAACTAAGATAATCTGATATTTAAAAAAAAAATGACAGAGAAATAATACTTTTGGTCCAACCTTGAAAATAATGTATTCAATCTCATGAGACATCGCAGGAAGTCGTGCTCACAACCTGTGTTGTGAATTACTCTCATCCACTATCACATCAGATCTTAGCTCAGTATTGTTAAGTTAGACATTTTCATGTTAGCTAGAGTTATTTAGATGTGGGAGCCATCTTAAAGACACACGCAGACAGTGAAAAGAACTATAGTTAGCCTGAGCCTTCTGTAGCGGGCGATAAAGTTTAAGGATCACACAAGAGTCATCATGTTAAGGAATTTTTGGTCAAAGTTTATCGATTTTTGTTTTAACTACTGTGACTGAGAATGTTAACTCTGCCCATGAACCATATGTTTGGGTTAGCAGAGAGAACTGGATGAGGAGCTGAGTGAGGCTGCAGCGTGCAGCTGTTGCTCCAAGGACGCCTCTGCGTCTGTGAGCTCGGCTGAACTGATGAGAGTAAAACAAGCTTCACAGACGGCTTGAGGCAGATTCTTGTGCCTGGTCTTCATGCAGGTACTTCCTGTATATCTGTGTAACCTGTCCTGAGAATCTGACCTTGAACGTAAAAACCAGTTAAAGATCTTCTCCTGTCATCTAATGTGGCTCCTTTTGAGTAATTGAGATAAAGCAAGAATATTCTTCTCCAATATGTCAAACGTGCGGCCACTTAGCTGACTGACATTTCTGATACCCCACAGGCAAGTATTCACTTTTAAATCAGAAAGAAAACAAAATATTCAGTGAAACACAGTATCAAACGTTTCAAAAATTTTTTACTCTTCTAAGAATGTACTCCATATTTAAGTAGCTGCATACAGAAAAGGGAGGGAGAAAAAAATAAACCGCCGTTTACAAATAGCTTTCTGAAAACAAACTTTGTTTGGAGAAATTTGACCACATTGAGGAGCTAATTGATCACCAAGTGGCATCAACTCATTTTAGACTGGGCTGTGTTCAGATTAGCTCGTCAGTTTTACCAGTCCACTTTTATTTCTCTAACTGAAGACATTCAAAAAACTATCTGCAACAGGTAAGATATTAATTGTTCATAACGTGCCCACAGAACCTCTTGCTAATATATCTGAACTATCCCAAGTATAAGACATTGCATATATTTATTTTCTCCCTCATTCATAGCATTGCTAAATACTTTTGAATTTATGCTCCGTCTTTTTCTTCCATGCAGGACAAGATGGGAGCGATGTGAGACCTTTCCCTAAATCTGACTCTTGCTGTTTAAATTAAAGTTAACTGACTTGACTTTTATTAATTACATCTCTAGCAACTAGCAGCATACAAGTATACAGTGTGTATATATATATATATATATATATATA